TTCTTTACATAGGCTGCTGTGCCTCCAAGAAGACCAAAGCCTGTGGCACCTCAGCAACTACCTTCTCATGCCCTGGACAGGCTGCCCCAATCTTCAGAAGGGTATCTTCCAGCCGAATTCGACCCGGCCTATGAAACGGAACCCGTGGATGAATCCGAAGAGGAACCCCAGACACCCTTCTTGACCTTGGATGAACGCATTGCGAGTTACAAACCCGGCGGTTGGTTCAAGCTCAAGAGTGAGAAGGAGTGGAGTGATGACCCAGTGGCAGACGCCTCCAGCTGTTTTAGCCAGGATTTGGCAGGATTGAGAGATGTGTTACGACATATGCCTCTGCAAGTCTTACTGTCGATTCCTGAAAACTTGGTGGATGTGGAAGATTTGGAGAGGTGGAGCAGGGATGCTGAGCTGGCTTTGCAGTTGGATCTGGCTCATGATATTGAAGGTGAGGAGGGGTTTCAATCCAATGCTTCCCCAGGTTTAGATCTTTTGATTTTTACTTTCTCATAAAGATAAGTACAGTGAGAGCGCCACATGCAGACAATTTGACATAGGGACATTTATTTTTCAAGAAAAAGGGCATACAAAAGGCCCAACATATGGACGCTGACTCAACATGAGGACATTGCATGCTAAAATTTCCAATAAATTTCACAAAAATTGACTTTTATTAGACTTGATTGCAAGAAACAGATATTTCAAACCCTGAGATTCATGCAAAAATAATTCTTTGTCATTTCTCCCATCATTTTCCTATCCATTCAGCTAATTTAAAAAAAAGTTACCCATTGCATAGAGGGACTTCATTCTCTCTTTGTGACTTGAATGTTATGTTTGCAGATGCCAACATTTCAATGTAAGTACTGATGTACAGAGGTATACTATCCAATGCTCCAAATGTTCTCATTGAGTTGAAAATATATTCACTGAATCAAATTCAAGTGGCAAACAATTTTTTAAATAGAATTCTGAATAATATTTCTTCCATGAAACACCAATTAAAAATTATCCAATGTTAGTCTATGGGAAAAGAAGACTTGACTTGGGGACAATTCAACTTAGGGTTGCTCTTGATTTACCAATTATGTCCAAATCTGGGGTCTCACTGTACTGCATTTACTTGAGCATCATGCGGTCCTGTTTTCCTCAAATTTGAGAGGAAAACAGTTCTAGAAGTTCAGGTTGTGCATTATATTCAATTGCAATGGGGAATTTTGGATATACAGTATTTCAACAGGAAAGCTTAATTAAATGGAAATATTACAAGATGAGTTGAATTCAGGATCAATTCAAATTTTTGTTTTCTTATTTGTGAGTGCCCATCTTACTTGAGGACGCAATTTTACCACAATATTTGACTGAAAAACCCTGGTGTGCATCTTATGTGAGGGTATTTGGTACACTTGAGTAAATACTGTATGTTACTCTTCGAGGTATTTTTTCATACTTTGTTCTTTCAGTTCTTTGCTGATTGTTGAGCAAGCCATTGTGAGATTTATTACTGCTTGTGCTATGCGTGAGAACAGTGCAATTTCAGAAACATGTCACTAAAAACATTTTGTTCTCAGTTCCTTGCAGAAAACCTATGGAGCATGTGCTAAAACAATCTCATCACAGTATTTATCTATTGCGATGTTTTCAACCTGTCCTCGGAACTTCGGAGATGTTCCACCCTAAGTTTTCATGTCATCAATTTTTTGGACAATGTACGACGAAATCGGAATGAAATTCAATTTTTTGAGTTTGAAGGGAGAGGACTATGCGACTGACTGTAAATCGGATCAAAATCCCGAAGAATATTTTAAATTCAGAAAGAGACCGGGCATCGTAATTCAATTTCCTTTCGATATGTTGTCCAGAATTCAATCTAACCTGCACATTCGTATTTATATTTCTGAAGGAAAACGTCCGACAGGATCCACGAAGACGCCCGAGTGTGATGATCACAAAGACTCTCTGGTCACGTCAACAAAGGAGGCATACTCAGTTCCCGACTATCCCAAGAGATTGTGTGTTTCTTCCCCCGAAAACGGTCCTCACAGATTTGCCAGATATGTGATCCAAAACTCAGTTTATGAAGATGTTGTGATACCTTTTAATCTTCCAACTCTGGAAAATTTGGATAACCTGAAAATGTTGGACTTCCTCGGTGTGCCAGAAAATTTACGTTCACAAGAACTTGAAAATGTGTTGAATGTTTGCCTCAAAGTGGAAATTTCCAGCATTCTGAATGAGGAACCAGAAATAGTACCTGATCCTGAAGTAATTGAATCCTCCCAAAATGTGGATCAGGAACAGAATGAATTGCAAGACTGGTTGGATGATCTCCTTACATGAATGTAATAACCGACCCCTTCAATCAATCAATCGATCATTTTATGAAAGAATATTGTTGTGCAAATCAACGCAGGAAAGCAAACAAATAAAGCACAACCAACGAATTTCTCGTGACATTTCAATCTTCGAAAGAAACTGTTGCGTCGAGAACATATGAGATCTACCACAGATCTTCCTTCACTGGCTCAGCAACAGCATTGTAATTTCTGTCCCCGCTTTGCAAGAAGTCTGGAACTTCTTGATTGGCCTGAAAATGAAGTGATAATATTGTAATCGCAATCATTTTGGATTATTGTTCAATGAAAATTCTTGAAAATAGTATTGGCATCTTCTGCCCCACTTCAAGACGAAACTTTACACTAAATATGAAGTATATCTTGTTTAAAATGATGTATGACATTTCAAACATCTAAGGATACTGTACTGACATTTTCACGAAATACTGCATATGAAATGTTCCAATCGAAATGACATGCTCGCATGCACTGCTTAAATTTAGAAAAATACTAAAATTCCTTCTGACAATTGATGACTGTATTCCTGGAGCCTGATATCCTGAATACGTTTCGAGTGTTTCTCACTGAATTTGAGAATTTATTCAGATTTTAAGCCGTCTGTCATCCAAGATATTTTCATTTGATCTCCGAATTACTCCACAATCTCCAAATTATCTTCAGAATCTCGAGCTCCACGCAAGAGACTAAAAATTTTTTTCAAATAGCGAAAATTAAAAACTGACCATCGCATTTCAGTGATACACTGCATCATTTGAATATTCAAGTCAAGTAATCTCATTCCGATTTTTCCTGGCGAAGTTCAGTTCAATAGGCCAACTATCTTGGAGATAAACTTCTTGAATAAATATTTCGATTCATGAATAAAATCGAGTCGGGCACGGATAAGCCGTTCCATTCAACCCAACTTTTAAATACTGTATTCAATTTCAATATCGAAAGAATACTCACAGCAGCCAAAGTATTGACCAAGTCATTGAGGAGACCATAATCCTTCTCAGGATCGAAGAAACTCGTCGCCTTCCCAGCATTCCCAATGCGACCTGTTCGCCCGATGCGATGAACATACTCGTCTATGTTCGTGGGCAAATCATAATTTATGACATGTGCCACTTCCGGAATGTCCAGGCCTCGCGCCGCCACTGAAGTTGCAACCAAATACTGGGCATCTCCGAGGCGGAACTGTGGGAGGAACGCGAAAAATGTCAATCCTACCGTTGTTTCCATCTCCAAATTAAGTTGAAAAAATCAGAGTAAGTTCATCAAGTCCAATGCATCTCACAATGACCATCAAGAATCTGGAGAAAAAAAATGACTGGCACAACAAACTTTCATGCCTTCCGATAAACAGCTCCTCATTTGATATTGGAAAATCAATATGATTCATAACGAATACTGTAATCGCTTAGAAAGAAGTTATATTTCGGGTTCCTGTCCAATAGCCACATTTTTAAAAGGGGTACTGTATTTTATGGGTATTTTTCGGTATAGCGAAGCTATTTTACTGATCCTTATTTTACCCAATTTTGCTGCATTCCAATTTTTCCCATCAATAAATTAACAGTAGTCTAACAATACTTTTCAGTTCATCAACAATTTGTTCGCCCAGCTTTTCCCTCAGAATTTTTGAGATCAATCTTGGCATTCTTTCTAAGGGTTGCTTCCAGGTCATCCAAGGCAATTCTTGCTGGGCTACAACAAAAAAAGGGTGCCTCATCTTTTGAGTGTAGAGCAATACTCTGCCAGGGTGAATTATGAAAAAATTCAAAAAAATTTGTCAAACTGGGCTGATATTCTTTTTGTGCCAAAGAATATGTTTTCCCTAAAAAATACTTTTTTCAGCTCAATGGTTTGCCATTTTCTTTGCTACTCCGAGAACTTTTGTTAGAACCCTCGTATATTTTGAGGGATTCAAGAGTACAGTAATAAAATGAATTTTTACTTCAAAATTTTCTGCGAGTCAAGCTAAATTTTCAGATACTGTATTCTCATTTTTAAGAAAGGCTCATTCGACTTCATCGAATTATATATAATGCCCCCAATTTTTTTTTTTATTCCAAGAAGATGCAACCCAGATTTGGTTCACTTTTCTTCAAGATAATTACTCGCAAAATAATGTTACATTTGATTAAATTTGCTCACGTGTCTCATGGCCGTTTCCCTGTCCTCCTGACACCTGTCCCCATGAATGGACGTCGACACGAATTTCGATGCGCTCAGACGCAAGGCCAAAAAATCCGCGGTCTTCTTCGTGGCGGTGAATATCAATGTTTTACCGGATTGCCCTTCATGATCACACAAAACCTGGAACAGCGTGTCCATCTTCTTTCCGCGCGGAACCTGTAAAAAATAAGAGTGAGAACAAAACAAAGAAATACATAATACAGTATATTTATTTTAAGTGAAATTTCATTACAGTACACATATTTCCCAGATTCTACAGAAGAAATTCATTTCCAAGTGATTTTCTTCAGTTTTAATAAAAATTACAATACTTTACTATACCGTATTTTAATTTCTAAATTTATTGCAAAAAAAAGCTGCTCAGAATAACACACGGCAGATAGAATTAATAAATGGATCAGAACACGGCTCTGCTGGAAGAAAATCGTATTTTCACCCGACACAAATTTTCATTTCTGCTGTTCATAATTATTGTGCTTGCAACCGTGGAGAAAATGCCAACAAAATTTCAATTCAAGCTTTCTATTTCTGGAAAAGATGTCGCACATTGTCAAGAGGGGGAACCAAAGGTGGTGAAAAAATGCTCCAATGAAGAGGTTCATTCTGTTAAATTTTACTATTTTGATACGAATAGAAATTTGTTCAGACCAACATAATAATTTCTAGTCAATGGGAAAACTTGGAATATAAACACCCTTTGTAACAATGTCGATCAATGCCGACTTTGAGAAAACATGGCAAAGGTGGGCTCACTAAAATGACTTGGTACAGGACAAATTTTCTCTCTAAAAAAAATAAATATATTTTTGATCACACAGGGTTCTTTCCCCATGTTATAGAGGTACAGTATCTACAACACAATTATCCACACAAAGGATTTTTCTCTGGTTCCTCAATTGGTTTCACTGTAGAGGGAGGTCCACTTGTACATGTACAGTATTTTGAAATGTTACTTTCTAATTTTGGAAAATGTGAATGTTTATTCAGTTGATTTTTTAGACTTGAAAAAAATACAGGTGATCAGCACTTGACTACGGAGGTAATGTACTACTGTATCTGCCAATACTGATTTGTTGAAGAAAAAAAACCATTCAGGTTTGAAAGGGGACCATCTTTCTCATGAAAAAATAAAATGAGATTGATGAATGGCTTTCTAGGGTGGAATAGAGTGAGACCCCCACATAGCAAAAAATCAACATGCAGAGATTTTGACATGACAATTTTTTCCCATGAAAAATTAAAAACAGCCAAACATGCGGACACTGACTCAACACATGGACATTGCGTGATAAAATTGCAAATAAGTTTTAGGCCAAATTTAAAGAAACAGATACTTCCAAATCTAGAACTGATTTAAGAAAAGTTCTTCAGCATTTCTCTCATCAATTTACCATATATTTAGCTAATTGAAAAATTTACCTTCAACATAGATGGACTTCCTTCTCACTTTTTCACTTGATCATTAGTTTTACAGAGAATGCCAACAATTCTATGTACAGTACTGTACAGAGGTATTAGTATTGAATATGCTCAAAATGTACATACTGCGTTGAAAGATATTGATGGAATCAGTTTCAACTGAGAGACAAATTTTTTTCCATGGAAATATGACGAGTACTGTATTTTGCACATAAAGCAACAATTAAAAATTATATAATTTAGGTCTAACAGAAAAATGGATTTAACTTAGGGACACTCTTGTTGCACCAATTACATCTGCATCTTGGAGTCTCACTGTATAAGAAACAACAAAGAGCCAAAAAATGAAACTTGTTCCAGATTTAGTCTTCTCAAGGAAACAAAATTGAAGCAAAACTTGTGAACTCCCATGAAAGTATTCTAATGTTGTGCAATGGAAAATGTGGAAATTTCGAATTTTTGCACTGTGTTATAATGGCATTACAGTACTTGTGCAATAACATAATTTTATCTGCCTAGATCATCTCACATGAAAATACAGAATGCAAAAACAGGGTGAATATAAATTACTCTCGACAATAAATATGTGCTCATCACCTGCACAACTTTTTGCTGGATATCTTCATTTGCACCGCCAACCACACCCACGGCCATGAAGACGTGATCAGGCTTCAAGTACTTGGCAGCCATTTCCTTGACATTGGCGGGAAAAGTTGCAGAAAACATCAAGGTTTGACGATGGCCATTATGCGCTGAATTCAGAATGACGTCGATGTCGGCAGAAAACCCCAGGTCCAACATTTGGTCCGCCTCATCCAGCACCAGAAAACTGAAACGCAGAAGTGTATGGGTTTCTTCAGCATGTACAGTATAGTTAACGTGTTTTGTTACCTTGGTCAAGAAAACTTATTTTTTTCAAATTTTGGAGGTGTTTTTCATTTTTTTCGCGGAACATCAAAGATGACTGAAATTTTTTAAATTGAAGTCCATGGAAAATTTTGATCCAACATGCAAAAATTCTGACTAATGGACACAGCCTGAGCAGTAATCTGCATCTTATTGGGGCCACACTGACCACTTTGACAGAATTGTGGTCACTCTCCATACAATACAACAATTTGTCTACAATGATTTTTACTATACTGTATAACGAATTTTTTGTGGTCACATAGAGTAAAATTTAAAAAACTTACAATATTTCAAAAGTTCAGGTGCGCGTCATATTTGATTCCAATAGAAGATGTTGACTACCGTAATTTCAGAAACAATTTTAAAGAATAAAAAATAAAATGAAAACTATTTCACTTTGGGTTTAATTCAAGTCAAAATTGAAATTCTGATGCGTTTTTTCCAAATATTGCAAAGTTTCTGCCACTATAAAAGTGTATAGAGCATGTCTTGGCAATATGTTTATGTCCAACTTTTTTTTCATGAGAAAACCAGGGGCAAAATTTACTCCAAAAATATGTCCTTGCATAAGACTTGCACCCCAGTTTTATACAGTCAAACATTTAGAATTTCTAAGGCAATAATTTTAAACAAAATAATCCCAAATATATATACAGTATATAATAACATCATGCAATTTTAATGGGAGTTGTGCCAAACAGAATCCCATGTTCATTATTTGTCCCTACAAAAAATCACTTGAGGCTCACTTAATTTCTTGCTTTAAAAAATGTATGCCTGCATATGGCTTACCACTTTCACCCCACTTTTTCTGCCCTGATTTCAAATACTGTATATGGTGCACATGGTACTTGAGTATAAATACAGTACTGTTGAACCTTAATAACTAAAACCTCCCTACAAAATTTGCATTTTTTCCATCTGAATTCTATCAGAAACAATGCATTAAAAACCTCTCTAACTCAAGGCTTTTCCTCTCAAACCTCCACAACTTGAATTTCCTGAGGCCTTTTTGGCATAATCCTATATTTACACAGGAAAGAGAGAAGCAATAAAAAGTTACTTGATGTGTTTTGAAAGGAAGGGAAAGAAGAATTGGGAAAATAAACCCATAAGGCACAGAATATCACCAATTAAAATTTCCTTCAAATATTCTTTCTTTCCAACAACAAAAATTCATGTTTCCCCAACTCAAAACCGCCTTAGCTCAAATTTTGTTATTGTTGGTCCTTAAGGTTTACTACTGTACTTACTTGAGAACAATAATTGCGCCCTCAAGTAAGGCTCATGCCAAGATTTTTCTTTAACCCAAAATTTACCCAAAAACCTACTGTACCTCAGTGTAAGACCAGCACCCCAGTTCTTGTTGGCTGAAAATCAAAATCTATTTACCAATTTATCACTTGTAAGATTTGTTATCGGTGGAAATTATGTGATATAATTCCCTGATATAATGCAAGAATATTTGCATCACTGAGGATATAGAAATTTTGTGTTATTAATAACACCTGGGAGAGATATTAATATATTGAAAAGAATATATCAATATTCTTCCATCCCAGTGCATGTACCCCCAATGACACGCACGCACCCCTTAAATGCGTAGCAACCCCCGGCGCGTGGAAGTCGTAAAAAGACACCTGCACACGCACACTCAGGTGTCCTTTCCCCTTCCTGGTTATACCCCCAAATCCACGGTATATAAACCCCTGAAGAGATTAGGGAAGACAGGCATTCTAGCATCAGGTCCCAATAGATTAACTTGATTACTTGAAGATCCCTGAGTCTTGAGAATATCTGGTTACACTGTTGTGTGTACAGTATACTGTTTATTGAATAAAAGACTATTTTTGTCTCACAAAGACTTTCTTAGTTGTTCATTCCAAACCTCTATAAAAGGAGACACTCAAATTCTTGTTTGTTTTTAAGGAATAACAGATTGTAACACTAAAACCTCATGAATAATTCAAAGAGCATGAAGATTGGTCATACATCATGATTATTGGATGCCAAAAGGAATTTTGTTTCATCTGAGACTAACTTCTGACACACCAGAATTATTATTTTTTAATTATACACCACAAACACCCCACTTTTCCTTCTAGATTTCATAGAGAAATAATTATAGTAGATAAAAAAATTAATCTAAAAAACCACGTTTTTCAAGTAAGACTAAAAAGCACCAAAAAATTTAGTAGATTAAAAAATGTGAATTTCTTCGCCTGGAAACAAGGAAAAAAATCCAAACGCTAACCGGCACTCTGAGAAGTCCAACTGCTTCCAGTCCACGTGTGCCTTGACCCTTCCGGGTGTGCCAACCAGGATGTGCGTGCCACGACTCACTTGCCCCCACATGTGCTTGACTGAAGTGCCGCCATAAAGCATGTTTGTTTTGATTTCACTGCCACGAGTCAATCTGAGGATCTCCACTCCAATCTGCAAAGCCAGTTCCCTGGTTGGGGTGAGGATCAGGGCTTTGATCTTCACTTGTCGTCCGGATCCGCAAGCGGGTCTCTCCGTCATGAGGTAGTGCAGCACAGGAGCCAGGAATGCCACCTGTTGAAAACAAAAATAATAATACAGTAACATCTCATAACAACACTGTTGTCTTTACTAGCTTAAATTCAGTTGGAGAATTGTTGATCAGACAATTCTTTCAAATTAAACTACCTTGACGATTGATGTCAAAGATTTGAATTGTTTTCCTTGTACTTTTGAAGAATCAAGAATAGACTTCAACAATCTTTACAAGTGCGTCTTTATTTCCGTCTCACAAAGCGTAGAAATATATGAGCGTGCAACGTCGAGGTTCTTGCGGCAAGAGTTTGAGGAGAGTAACAATGCAGAACAAACATGAAGCAGATGAGGGAACGTTACAAAGTGCTGCATATTGTAGTCTTGACTTTTATTGGACTACAACACACTTTTGGGGACTTCAGAAGGAGTTTTTGATACTGAATACAGGTGGTTCTTGGTAATTCAATGGTCAAATTTGCTGGGAGGTCAACTCTCAATTCTACCTCTGCCTTGCAATTTGACCAGTGGAAAGACATGGAATGTCAAATGCCATATAGACATTTTGACCTTGTGTCTCAATTTGACCAAAGTCCAGCAACAGATTAGGGTCAAATTGCAAGGTACAGTACCACCTGTAATTTGTTAAAACAAGATTTTCAAAATTAGTGACTGGAAAACATATTCACTTCAGAATACTGTACCTGCCTATAGTCACATTATAGATCTTGCTCTTCTGGCATTCTCAGACACAGAATTAACATAATTTTTAACTTGGTGATCTTTTGAAATAAAAAAATTAGCTTCAATCACGCATTCCATCACTTTCGCCAATGTCTTCATTCTGGAAGGATGATGTGTACATTCACTTGATGGAAACATGTTTTTCATTGATTATACAGCTTCCATTCATGCTAGAAGAACCAGTCAGTCACATTTTTGGCATCAGAAATGTTGGACTGAGCCTGTCTTAGTCAGGAAATTCCTACCCAGAGAATCTGAAAACCATTCCTCAGCAAAGTTTGTTTTACTGGAATTGAGAAGTTTGTTAGAATCTTGTAACAGTAGAATCTCATTACAGTACAACAAATCTCATTATAAAAAATTTTCACCTACAACAATTTTTTTTTCAAGTCCTGGCAGTTAGCCTTAAGGTGTAGTTTGAATTAATCTTGTTTTAAAAAAATAATATTTTACAGGCTCTCTGGTTACAAAAAATTTTTGTCAACTGTTTTTTAGGATGTTCCCAGCATAAATTTTCCAATTTTTGCTCTGATTTTTGAATTTTTCTTTCCTGTATGTGTATACAATACCCCATTTCCTGGGGCTCATCAGTATATGGTGGACAGGAAATGTCTCAATATTTTTTGTCCTTCGATTTTTAACCAATGTAATTACCTGTCGTCCTTCGAGTACTTTATTTACATGGGACTAATTAACTAGATAACAGATTCCTCAGACTTTCACATCACGTTTGAACCTCGAGGAACTGGAAGAGCCACCAGAATTGATGAATTTTATTCTAATGCTCTTCTGTGTTGAGTTATATTTTAAATTGTTAAATTCATTAAAATTTTTCAAAAATCTTAGCAAAATGATCATGTTTTCAACTTCCCAAAGCAAGTGGGAGATGTCTTAGTGGATTCTGTAGCAAAGAAAATTGCACAGAGTGAAATCACTGACAATTTCAAGCAGAAAAATGCTAGTTCACATGTTAAAGTTTTGTTTACACAAATAATTACATAAATCTCAATATAACGAATTTTTTGTTACAATTTTTTTCATGGTCCCTGGGCGTAACAACCTTACTCTAAGATGACATTACGCTAACAAAGTTTTACATGACGTACCCGAAAGACGGTCTTCCAACCTCAACTCTTTTAAAACAACATGACTTTTTTTCAACGTAAACAAAACTGTTATAATTACTATATACAGTATAGACAAAATCTCCTGTGTTCTTGCTTCAAAAATTTAATACAACAATATGTGATTCAATTTGCGAATGAATAATCCCCCGAGTAATTTCGGTATTATTTTATTTCTCAGCACTTGATTTAATCATCGCCTTCTTTTCTTCTGGGACACTTCTTTTCGCGTGATACTTTTCTTTGGGATGAACCACTAAAATGAATGAAAAATACAATATTTTCTTGGCGTAAAATTGAATATCTACGATGTAATTTTTCTAATGTCGCCAAATAAAAGGGGTAAAAAAAAAATGACTGACCGTCTTTCCGGATCCGGTTTGAGCAGTTGCGACGAGGTCACGGCCCGCCAAGCCGATTGGAATGCCAAATTTTTGCACTGGCAGAAGTTCATCAAACCCAAGTTCCCCGAGTCGCTCAGCAACAAAAGAATGCAGCTGCGTTTCAGAAATCTTGTCAACAGGGGCAGGGACCAAGTGTCCATGGCACTGAAATAAAAATACTTATTGAGCTCTCGAAAAACAAACTATAGGACCAAACCCCAGGAATTCAAGTGAGGTCTCTAAAACATAGGACAGATCTTTAGTGACTTTACCCTTCAACTACAAAATACATTTTGAGACGATAGGAAAACGTACCGTCACTTTGGTTTGCTGCATTCGCCAGAGATTCGATCCGGCATGAAGCATCGGGGTGCTGTTGAGTTGTTCCTCAGTGATTTGCGGTGGAACGTATGTCTGAGTCGGAGCAGAAACAACTGGATTCGACGTCTCCGGCTCATTATTAGACGAGTCATCAGCCGGTGCGGAAATTTTCGTTTCCTCGGAACTAATCGATCTTTCAACCGGATTTCTGCAAGGAAATATGTTGGCAACCGTCTCAGTCATTAGAAGTACAGTTTTAAGAATGACGAAAACGCGAATGGCCAAAATGTTGATGATGTTGAACTTTCGGGGAGAAGATTCGAGATGTTTCAATTTTTCAGCAAAAAACCTTTCAAATGAACTTGCTATTCTTTATCAAATTTTACTTCAGAAGCTTCGTTTAAACTTGAGCATCTTTGCTCTCTTTCTCAGCTGCAGCCGCATATTTTACGGCTGTCCTTACAGATATTAATGTTGATGTCCCACAATATAAATTTCAATATGTGATGAATAAATAATGTTTGCCAGAAATGTGAAGAAACGGTCAAGATCTTGGGTATATATCTCCAACATTTTCTGCACTTTTCGTGATATATTTAGAAGGGCACTCAGATGGGGTCTTACGCTACTTTCCGGTTCAAGAATTGAATAGATTCAAAATTTTGTCTGTCTTGCATTAACAAATATTGATGAGGTTTAAGAAGTATCTTCAGAGAAGCTGACGATTGAAGAATTATTTGTTCCCCGAAGCTGCGAAAATTTCTTCTAGGGAATTCGGCAACACTGTACAGTACTCGTATACGGAGAGAGCGGAACAAATCGCTTCAACAAAATTTCAAAGAAGCTTGGACTTGGAACAGTATCTAGGAAGAAAACTAACCTGTAATTGAACGCAGTTGATTCGTCACTTTTTCTAGAGAATGCGTTCCTTTCCGCGGTGTCGCCGAACGTAGGTTCCTCGGCGAAGAAATTCTTCTCTTTTAAAACAACTCCATGATCCACGTTCGATATTGGAACGGATAAACGATCATTATTGCATTCATTCCAGACGTAATCCACACCGCCATTGGGTTCAGCAAGATCTAGTTCCTTTTCAAATCTCGATACATTCGTGATCGCCTGATCCAATCCGAAGGACTCACCTATATTTTGACAAGTGGGAGCACGAAAGAAAGTTCACGAGATATATAGTTCCGGAAATAATACCACGCACGGCGTTCGGGAAACTTCTGAATTGTTCGAACTACATCAGTATAAACCGGTTCCTTTGTCTAATTAATAAAACCTGCATGGAAAAGGAATCCGCATAAATATCTGAAATCCTTCTAATGCGAAGCAATATTCGTGACAACAGAAGATATCCGCAATTAATGGAGGCCGTGCACTGATTATTCAACGTTGTACTACCACAGTAAAGTATTGTATTTGAATAAAAGATTAATGATTATTGCTTCTCGAATGTTGCACATAGAAAAAATATAGAAGATTGGCACACGCTGTGCAGAAACCACAGCGAAAAATTCTTAATAAGAAAACCACTAACCGATTTGGTGTCGCTCGGACAAAGAACGAGGAATCTCATCACCCGGCCAAAACCAACCAGCCATTATTCTCACTTAAATCACGAATACCTCACTTTCCCGGCCGGCCGCAAAATTCTATGAAGAACAAAACGAATCACTCAAAAGCACTCTCCTGCACGATGAATGTATCAATGACAAAGGTCCGAATTGGAACACATATCTCGTTCATACAAGAAAACTACCAAAAAAATTGGTCACACTACTTTTTCCGCGAATAATCGCCGGAAAGGTATTCAAAAAGATCTCGGAAACCATCGAATTCCGTCCGGCCAACTGGTGGTTCGTTCTTCTTCACTTGCGGGAAGATGCTCTGAACCTTGCACCGGAAGTCCTTCATCTGAAATGAAGATTACGGAATCATGTTTACCTAATCCTGATTGACCTTGCTCCGTAAATTGATGGGGAAAAAAAGCACATGCACAGAGGTCCGTGGAACTGAATTGCTTCACATTCTTTCCACACGGCGTAATAATCTGCGCAACACATGCACGCACAGCGAGTGAGGTAGTTACAGTGTTGTCTCCTTTTCAAACTTCAGTAAAAAGTTTCTACGGATCATTGTACGCGTTTCGAAATACTGCATCTTCGTGATGAAAGTTCGTGGAAAGCCAATCAAATACTGTTATCCCGAGTTTTACACTGTACACTGGATCCCGTCATCCCGTGTTCGTGTTCAACCCGAAAAACAATAGCGAGTTTGCGGCGGAAGTGCTCCGTGTTGCGCCTGAGATGGCGGAAAAACACGTTCAGCACGACGAGAGGACGAACAATCATTCACAGTTCTGTATATTATCACAAAGAGTCATTCCCTTGCACACCAAACCTTGAATAATCTACCCCCTTCGATGAGTCACCCCCAGGCAAGTCACAGACACTCTACAAGGTTTTTCTGAACACGATAGGAGCTGTCGCATTTTCCGACCTACGTTGCCGCGTATAGTTACTCAAGTAGGGAGTAAAGTAATGAATTCAGAAACTTCAGCTCATCCAACGTAATACTGTACAGAACCTACCTTCATTTAGAAGCTTTGTTATGCGCAGTTTGGAGAATACTACAGTACATAATTTTCAATCTTCTGAACAGGTAATACATATAAAAGGACTAAACATTATTTTCAAACATAAGTAAATCTAACAACGTTACTTTTCATTAGCAGTTTAACTCCAGTCAAATGGATGAAACCCACACAATAAGCACATCACTTCAGTTTAGAATGTAAACAGTTCTCTTGCAAAGTTACTCAAGGGCTACCCTGAATCAAGCACTTCCTTGTCATGATTTGTTCCATTCTATTTTGAAAGTACATATACAGGAGAATTTTGTAAGAACAAAGTTATGTTTAAACCTTACTCTTAACAGTACATTTGCCTGCTTCATAAGCACAATGTTACACAACATTAACACTTAACTAACACAATGCTCCATAGAACAGATACAGCATGTACTTTGTGTCAATGATTTCTTTTTCAGATACCACCAATAACTTTAGTGTAACAATATTCCTTTAGATTGAATTCCGAATCCGTTTTAAAAAGTTTGCCGCGAATCTAAGCAACACGTGCAGAATCAGCTCTTCAATAAGCCAACGAAAATGGAATATGCCTGCAGCAGTGACATTCGGCAAACTAAAAATTACCCACCTCAACTGATGCTGGTAATCCAGTAAATGCGAAATGAAAAAATAATATTTCGGTTTCCTGCATTTTTTTTTACTCAATATTGGGCATGGTGACAAGAGCGGAAACTCAATCAAGAATTGAAGAGGAAAACAAATAGATAGCGCTGCTATTGCAAAGGGCAACAGGAAATTGGTTCAAGATTAACAATTCCTTTGGCTGGTTCATGAGGCTATATACACCAAAAGAAAAAGAAGTAACTATTGAAATGCTGATGTTGCATTCCATCATTGGAAATGTTTCCAGAAGAAATAATAGTTTTTGGCAATTTTCGAAGTACAGTGTTGAACATCTGCCCAAGTTGAATACCTCAGTACAACAATTTTCCTTCTGAATGCCTGCCTGAATTCCTTTAAAAACAATGCATTAAAAAAACTACCCTGCCTCAAATGCTTTTGAACTTCCATAAATCAAAATTTCTGGAGATCTTTTGGCCATTATTTTATTGACACAGGGAAGTTAAAAGCAGTATACAAATTTAATTTTTGCGTTTTGAAAGGAAATGAAAGACTAATTGGGAAAATAAACCTTTGCCTCCAACTTCAGCATCCTGTCAACTCATTCATTTTAAAGCACAGAATATCACTATAATTACAATATCCTGTAATTCTTTTCTCTTATCCTACCCCTTATACAACAAAAGTGCTGGTGTCCCTAACTCCACTTTTTTTGCTGGTCCCTCCTCAAAGTTTGACTGCAGTATGAGGGTTCTAACAAAAGTTCTCAGAATAGAAATTAAAAGGGCATTAAAAAATTATTATTTAGGGAAAACATATTCTTTGGCACAAGAAAAAAATCAGCCCTGTTTGACTTATTTTTTTGAATGTTTTGCAAAATTCACCCTGACAGAGTTTTGCTCTCCACTCAAAAGATGAGGTGCCCTTCCTGCAGATTTTGTTGTTGTAGCCCAGCTATCCCTTCAGAATTCTTGAAATCAACCTGGCATTAATTCCAAGGGTTGCCTCCAGGTCTTCCAAGGTAATTCCGCCATTTTCATCAACAGCCGCCTTCACAGCCGCCACACTGGTGGCTGTGAAGGGTGAACTCATTCTGCCAGGGTGAATTTTGCAAAACATTCAAAAAAATTGGTCAAACAGGGCTGATTTTTTTGTGTGCCAAAGAATATGTTTTCCCTAAAGAATACTTTTCCCCCCGCTCAATTATATACCATTTTAATTTCTATTCCAAGAACTTTTGTTAGAACCCTCATATATGAAATGATCAGAGTAAACTGTTGCTCACATTTTCCGCACCGGACAATTTCCACACGCCCCAAGATATCACTGACACACCAAGAACTGCGTAGATTGTCCCGCGCCCCAGGGCCCGCAGGGCCAAAGAAGCGCCATTTTCTCCACCGCCACCAACAGT